GCTAGTTGGCAGTATTTGGTTCTAAGAAAATCAATCAAGTCATGGTGTTAAAAAAAAAACCCAAAAACCTTTTGGAAGGAAAAAATCAAGGCTGGAATGAGACTGGGGGTAAGGACTGGCACCGCTTGCCACCAAGTACACACGGAGCAAGTGAAATGCACACGCACCAGAGTGTTCAGTGTTGAAAATCAGAATCTGATGAATAAAACTGGAAGCTGCAGAACAAAGTGTGTAGAGATGAGAAAAAATGGGAGGTCCTACTGTTACAATTTGGGCTGCTCACCGTGGCGGGGCAGTGGTTACGTGTTGGCCTGAAATCCAAGGTGGGCAGTTCAAAACCACCAGCCACTCCCCAGGAGGGGGATGGGCTTTCTAGGCCCTTGCAAATTACAGTCTGGGACAGCCCCGGGGGCAGTTCTACCTGTCCTGAAGGGGCTCTGCGAGTAGACGTCGACCCGATGGCAGTGAGGTTTCTCCTGTCCCCCTGCGAGGGGCCCACCGGTGCCTGAGCCTCACCGTCACTGCTTCAAGCAGGTCTCCAGCCTCCCGTCGGTGACCTCACTAGCCGCTCCTTCTTCAAGACCAGCACTTCCGGGGGGAGGGGGGGGGAAATGAGGACCTAATGTGGGGGTTTAAGTGGAGAGAAAATGTTTTGAGAATGATGTACAAATGCGCTTTACACAATTGATGTGTGGATGGATTGCGATAACAGTTGTACGAGCCCCTAATAAAATGTTTTTTTAAAAAAAGCTAAACAACAACAACAACAAAAAAGACGAGCACTTCCACGTTGCAGATTACAGGGGGCTACTGGGGAGAGATTGAGTGACCAAGACAAGGAAAAGCTGAGCAAGGGGCTGATGCTCGTATCAAGTAGGCTTAGGGGGTGCTGGGGTGGGAACACCTTTAAGACCAGAGCACGTACACTGGGACAGATACGAGCTCTGGACACACAGTCCAGGACAGATCATCCCGCACAACCAATACTGAGTGTAGTGATACCATGAGAGTAGGGGGAAGGTAAGGGGGTGGGGGGACTGATCGCAATGATCGACATACAACCCCCACCCCAGGGGGACAGCAGAAACATGGGTGAAGGGAGACAGTAAAATATGGAAATAAAAATAATTTATAAATTATTAAGGGTTCACAAGGGTGGAAAGGTGGGGGAGGGAGGGTTTCAAAGGAGCTGATACCAAGGGCTCAAGTAGAAAGAAAAATGTTTTGGGAATGATGGCAACCTATGTACAAATGTGCTTGATACAATGGATGTATGGATTGTTTTAAGAGCTGTAAGAGCCCCCCAATAAAATGATTTCTTAAAATAAAATGTTTCATAAAGAAAACTCTCCTCCTGACCAATTGCCAGGAGAGGCCATTTTCCGTCTCTTCTGAAAGCTCCATCATTACATGCAAGTTTTGAAATGTAGGCAACTTAGTCATCACACCCTGCTGCTCGCTCCACCCACTTTGCTGCTCTTGACCTTGACTCTCTGCCCAACCACAGGGCGCACTGCTCCCATGCTGCATCCACCATTCTTGTTCCAGGTCAAGCAGGCCAAAGGAAGCTGTTAGGCCTGCCAGGCCAGCTGCCGGAGAGCCAAAGGCAGTGGTAATGCGCCTGGCCATGCTGCCGGCTGCGCAGCAGGTCCGGGCCTGCCCCATCAGAAATGGAGTGCGGGTCCAGCCCGCAGGAGGCACAACAGCCACACAATAGTCCTGTTGCTAAGGCTCGGTTTTGACTTCCCTCGCCCTCCTTCAGCCTTTGTGAGGACCTCTTTGCTTTCAGGGTGGGAGCGCAGTTGGCTCCAAGTCACAGTTACGCTAGGAGGGAGCCTTCAAAAGGGTTCTTCAGGTTCCAGCTCTTAGCACAAACCATCTTGAAGCTCGAAAGTGCACCGGTTCCATGAGCCAGAGGCGGCGGCAGCACCTAATTAAACTTCTTTAAGGACTCGCCAAACTGTTTCTGTAGTAGCGGCACCATTTCTCATTCCCCCAGCAATGGATAAGGGCTACAATTAGTCCATCTCCTTGGCCATCCAATCTTTTTGTTTTGCTGATAATAGCTATCTCTGATACCTAGGGTGTATCAAGTAGTTTCCCACTGTACATGAGCATCTCTCTAACGGCTAGAGATGTGATGTGTTTTCATGTGCTTACCAGCCATTTCAGTCTCCTCTTGAAGAAATGGATGAAGTTCAAGGCCTTGGTTCATTTCTTTTTTTAATTGGCCTGTTTGACCTTTTGTTGTTGAGTTGTAAGAGTTATTCATTATAAAATCTATAACTTTTCAAGGGTTCATGAGAGAGGGAGGGCAGGGGAGGGAGGGGGAAGAAATGGGGAGCTGATATCTGGGGCTCAAGTGGGAAGAGAATGCTTTGAAAATGATCATGACGGCATATGTGCAAATGTGCTGGACACATTGGAGGAATGTATGGATTGTGATGAGAGATATAAGAGCCCCAATAAAAGTATTTATAAATAAGTAAGTAAAAAGAAGGCTTTTTATTCTAGAGCAGGCTTTTTTAAAAAATCCAGAGAAGAGCAACCCCCAGGCTGGTCGATGGGGCTGCTCACAAAGTCAGGGTGCTTATTCCAGGACTGCGATTGGCCGAGCCATCTCCTCATGGCCCCAGAATGGCTGCTGGAGCTCACCTGTCTCCTCCTCACCTGGCAGTGACTAAGAAATGGAACCAACCAAACATGACCCAAGCGCACTGTCATCGCATGGATGCTGACGCACAACACGCCCCGGGTGGGTTTTTGAGACTAACGGGTTTGGCAGTAGAAAGCCTCGTCTTTCTCCCTCAGAGCGGCTGGCCATGTGGATTGCAGCCCAGCGCATCGCACACCACCACCCCCATGGCGCCTCTTAACAGAGAAAAGGCCCTTTCCTGCGTCCGTCTTTTTTTAAAATCATTTTACTGGGGGCTCGTACAGCTCTTATCACAATCCTTACCTCCACGTGTCAAGCACATTTGTACATTTGCTGCCATCATTCTCAGAACATTTTCTTTCTGCTTGAGCCCTTGGTATCAGCTCATTTCCTCCCTCCCTTCCTCATGAACCCTTGATAATTTATAAGTTATTATTATTATTTTTTCATGTCTACACTGACTGATGTCCCCCTTCACCACTTTTCTGTTCTCTGTTCCCCTGGGAGGGGGTGATAGGTAGATCCTTGTGACCGGTTCCCTGGGTCTTTCAGTAAGGGGTGAGATTCTGGTCTAGAAGTTCTTCAGAAGATCTCATCTTGAGGCTCATTGGCTAAAATTGAGCTAATGTACTTCTCATGGCCCTCACTGCCAGGCGCCTGGGACCATGAGTATCGGACACTTCCCAGTGGCTCATCGAAGGGCATTGGGTAGGCAGCCAGTAGGGTCAGTCCTCGGTCGTCTCTGAGTGTCCTGGTCATCTCTGAGACCCTCGTAGCACCTGTACTCTGTGGAGTACAGAGTAGAAGATGATCAGCCCATCTCCACACTGTCCTTCAGGGAGGTGGCCATGACCCCTCCTCCTCCTCCTCCTCAGGACCTGTGTCTCTCCCCCCACCCACAGATCAGAAGTCACCCAGCGCCCAATGTCACCACAAGTCTGCCAAGAGCGAGACACCAGCAGTGGGGAACCTGAGGGCAGTGTGCCCAGAGACCCAGGCCCTGCCCCCGAGAAAGCAGCCTGGCCGTCAGACAGCAGCTCTGGAAGCAGACACCCCGATGAAGGTTAGTCCCTTGCACTTGGGCTGGTCACCTGGCTCCCCGCCCATTAGCTGTGGCTTGGCCTTGCTCACGGAGGCTTGGTGCCCCAGGGTGACCATGCAGCCTCCATCAGAACTCGCCTCTCCTACACACTCAGGCTGCTCTGAACCCCTCGGGGCCCTTTTCCTGAAAGCAGGACAGTGGCCCTGACAGTGGGACACCCCCAGGGGGAACGCGGGGAAGGCCACATCCACTCAAGTCCCTTTCAGGTCTAGGCAAGGACCAGTAGCCGCCCCAGAAGCCACGGTGGTGTTAGCTCCCCGCCATCAGAGGGGCGGGAGCAGGGGCTGGAGTGTCGCTCCCCAAGAGGACCACAGAGGGGCCCATGAGCTAAGGACTGCACCAGGCCTTGGAGCACACGGAGAGAGCCGGCAGGGTGAAGGGAAGAGAAAGGCTCTCTCCGTGCAGAGAACAAGCCGGCTGACGTGGTGCCTGGGCGGCTGACGTGGTGCCTGGGCGGCTGACGTGGTGCCTGGGCTCCCCAGCTCACCTACAAGCACTCGTAGAGGGGCTGCCGGGCCTCTGTCTCTCCCACCTGTCTTCAGACCTCCTCACCTGACCCGCCTCGGGGTCTGCACAACAATGGCACTGCATACCCACGTATGCACACACGCACGCACGCTTGTGCACACCACACATACACTATGCATACACATGTGTGCATACGAGCTCACATACACACGTGTGCATGTACATGTGCCCACACAGGCACAGCCTCAGAATGTTCATCGAAGAAACACATTAACACCAATGTTGATGACAACCTATGTACACATTTGCTCCATACAATGGATGTATGGACTGTTATAAGAGCTGCGAGAGCCCCCAAGAAAATGATTAACATGAAAAAAATTAAATACATGAACAGCATCCAAAAGTGGGAACACGTTCAGGCCATCAAAAAAACTTGACAGACTAACTTCCATTTTGGTTCCGCTGGCTCTTGGACCCTTCTTACCAACACAGAGTCGAAGCTCCGTAGACACTAAGCTGGGAGATCCGGATTCAAGCAGCCAGTGGCGGCGCCCAGCCCACCAGGAGCCAGAGCCACCTGGGAGCCTTTTTTAAACAGACGCCCAGACCCACCCAGCTCCACTGCTCACGGTTCTCTGGGTGGGGGCTCATCATTCTATCACGGCTGCAAACAGCCACATCAGAACATGCCTTTTGCCCGCAAGTCATAGATCCTGCAAATGAAACTGCCCTGGGCTAAAAGGGTACTGTTGGCTCCCGTCGCTAAAAAGTCCAAGTGGGCTTTGGGCACAGAGAAATGCCAGCAAACCTCCAACTCTCCTGACATCACCCTTGCTTGCTTTCTGGAAGGTTCTTCCCTCAAAGGGATAAGATAGCCACACCCTCAGTGCCCAAGCCAGACAAGAGGGCACTTCTCTTCCCTGAAAGTTTGAACCAGACGTTTGGCCCCGACTCTTGTTGGCACAGATTGGACCCCTGCCCCTTGCCCTTCCTGGACTAGTCACTGGCACAGTGTTCTGTCCTGATAGGCCGGGAGAGGGAGAGAGTTCCTACGGAAAATAGAGGTAGCCACGGCTGTCCCTAAGGTTCTCTGAGGTTCAAGCAGATTGGAACCCACTGCCCAAGACACAACAATGTTGGGGTCCCATTCATGATTCCCTTTTCCCCACACATCCCCAAGTAGTACAAGTCAGTAGTTCCCAAGAGTCCGTTGAAAACTCATTTGACTTTGGGCCCCATTCTCGGACCTCCTGAGAGACAGCCTGGCCCTCCCTGGGCTGGGACTGTCCTGTCCTAAGACAGAAACAGAGCTCATCTCTGAAACCTAAACAGGGTCTGGCTGTTAGACCACCCCTTCCAGTGGCCAAAGGGGCAAAGGAGTGTGTGTGTGTGTGTGTGTGTGTGTGTGTGTG